TTTTTTTGGTTTTTCTCCGGTACCGGGAACCGAACTCATGACCTTGCGCATGCCAGGCAGGCGCTTTTGCCACTGAGCTAAATCCCCAGCCCCTTCTCTCAGATGATTCTAATGTATAGTCTTATATAGGAGCTAGTGACTACATGCTGTTTGATATCTTGTGTTTTGTTTAATTTCAATTGGATGGTAAATACTGCATAAGCATGAGCTGACAGTAAATGAGTAATGAAAAGGATATGTAACTCTGTGTTCTCATTCGACTGTATGTGTCAGCCATCAGCATTCTGCCTTATTCCTGTTTTACTTAATAAAATGATCAGAAGATAATTGTATTTATCTTACCTTTCACTCATTTTTAGAATTACCACTTATACATGGATACAATTTAGATAAATATAAAACTGTAATCTTTTTATACTTATCAGAAACCAAATTATAACCATAGTGCTGCTAGATAGTAAAAATGTTTGGTTGTGGAACTATCCGTACCAACACAGGTCTGTTTCTCCCTTCTTTTTAATTTTATTGTTGGTATATATTTAAAACATGTAATAACTAGATTAATCTTATAGAACTTTTACATATACATATTGTGTCTTCATCATTTTTATTCCCTTTTCCCCCTACCTTACCTTCTCCCTCTTCTCCCAGGACCTCTTTCCATCTCCACAAAGTCTACCTCCCAATTTCCTACCATCTCTCTTTTAATTTGCTCTTTAAGCCAGGCATGGTGGTGCATGCCTGTAATCCCAACACTCGGGAGGCTGAGGCAGGAGGATCGTTGCAAGTTTGAGGCCAGCCTGGGCTACAAAGTGAGCTCAAGGCCAGTCTGAACTGCATAGCAAGACCCTGTCTCAAAAAGACAAAAAAACAAACAAGCAAATAATTTGCTCTTTAAATTACTTATAGTTTGGTTTCTCATGTAGGAGAAACCATGCTATTTTTCTTCTTTTGCGTCTATTCCACTTAGCATTATGATCTCAAGAGCCATCCATTTTCCTACAAATGACTCAAATTTATTCTTTTTTATGACTATTACTCATATATATAGTAACACATTTTTCTTTATCCATTCATCTGTTGAGTTCCACTTTCATAATTTAGCTGTTGTGAATTATGGTGCTATAAACATGAGTATGCATGTAGCACTGTAGTATCATGACTTTAACTCTTTTAGAGAGATACCCAGAAGTTTCCTTTTTTTCCATAACCTTGCCAGCATTTTTTGGTTTTTTGGTTCTTAATGATAGTCATTCTTCCTGGGGTAAGATGGAATCTCATTGTTGTTTTGATTTGCATTTCTCTAATAGCTAGAGATCCTGAAAATATTTTCGTGTACTGATTGGCCATTTCTACTTATTCTTTTGAGAAGTGTCTATTCATTTCAATTGCCCATTTTTTGATTTGGTCTTTTGTTTGGGGGGGTTGTTGTTTTTGTTGTTTGGGGTTTTTTGGGTTTTTTTTTGTACTGAGAATTGAACTCATGACCTTAGGTTTGCCAGGCAAGTGCTTATGCTGCTGAGCTACATGCCCGACCCCCTTTAGTTCTTTATATATCCTAAATATTAGTCCTCTTTCCTGAGGAATAGCTGGCCAAAAAATTTTTTCCACTTCTGTAGCTTTCTCTTTACTTTCATGGTTGTTTCCTTTTCTGTGTAGAAGCTTTTTAATTTGATGTAGTCCCATTTGTTGAGTTTTGGTATTATTTCTTGTACAGTTGGGGTACTATTATGAAAATCCTTGCCTGTGCTTATGTCTATAAGAGTTTTACTCTTTTTATCTTCCAACAGATTCATTGTTTGTTTCTATATCTACATCTTTGATCCATTTTTTTATTTGATTTTAGTACAAAGTGAAAGATACAGGTCTAAATTCATTCGTTTGCACATGGATAACCAGTTTTTCCAGGGCCATTTGTTAAAGCAATTGTTCCTTCTCCAGGAGGTTTTTGAGCTCTTTGTCAAAAGTCAGCTGACTGAAGGTACATGTGTTTATTTCTGCATTCTCACTTCTATTCCATTGGTCAGCATGTTGATTTTTTTGTGCCAGTACCATGATGTTTTCATTTATTACTGCAACTTTGTAGTATAATTTGGAATCCAGGCTTGTAATATCTCCTGCTTTGCTCTATTGCTCAGCATTGCTTTTACTATTCTGGTTTTATATACTTTAGGATTGATTTTTCAAAAAGTTCTGTGGAGTGTGTGGTTGGTATCTTTATTGGAATTGCCTTAAATCTACATATCATTTTTGTAACACAGTAAGTCTCCAACTTATGAACAAGTTCTGTTCCGGGAGAATGTTCATAAATTATATTGTTTGTAAGTTTGACTTATTCATAAGTCTGAAAAAGTGAGTCATACACACCTTGGACACACATATATAATGTGTATTGCTTTGCACTTCCTAGCAGTTCCCTCCCCTTCACCACTGCTTTTCTTCTTGCTCCTGGACATCCTGGACTTGTTAAGGATTTTTGCTTTTGTATTCATTAAAGAAATTGGAATATAGTTTTCTTTTTTATTTTTGTTGAGTCTTTGTCTCATTTTGTGGCTAAGGCTAGCTTCAAGAAATCACTTTGGCATAGGCATCTGGCATTTTTTCCCTTCAGTTTCACGGGAGTGTTTGAGGAGGTTTCACAAACTCTGAAGTTCTAATAAAATTGAGCAGTCATCCATTAGGTCCTGGCTTTTCTTAGTTGTAGGATTTTTATTACTACCTCTGTTTCATACGTTTTATAGATCTGTTCTAAGCTTTATATCTTCTTTGTTCAATTTTGTTAATTCATGTATTTCTGAGAATTTATCCATTTCTTCTAGATTCTCCAACTTATTAGACTGTAAATTTTCAAAATAGTTTCTTTTAATCCTCTGGATTTCAGCAGTGTCCATTGTGATTGTGCATTTTACATTTCTAAGTACATTGATATGTCTTTCTTTAGTCTCAATTTCATTGATTTCTGCTCTGATATTTATAATTTCTTTCCTTCTGCAACTTTTGGATTTGGGTTGCTTTTGTTTTGCCAGGACCTTGAAATGCATCACTGGGTTATTTATTTTGGGATTCCTCTATTTTTTTAATGGGTACTCGCAGTTATAAACGTCCCTTTTAGAACTGCTTTCATGTATCCCATAGACTTTGGTATGTTGTACTTCCATTGTTAATTCTAGGAAGTTTTTAATTTCTTTCCTGATTTCTTCTGTGACTCGATTCAAGAGTGTGTCATTCCTGCCTGGCAAGTGCAAGGTCATGAGTCTGATTCCCGTTGCCAAAAAAAAGAGCATATTATTTAATCTCCATGTGTCTTCAAAGTTTCTGTGGTTTCCTTTGCTATTTTTAGTTTCATTCTACTATAATCCAGTAGATTGCAAGAGATTATTTTGATTCTTTTAATTCATTTCTTTGGTTAAGCATGCTTTTTGGTAAAAAAACAAAACTAAAGCAAAAAAAAAGCTTCATGGAACTAACCACCTGCCTACATATATCAGACTTAAGGTCAGAGGTCAGCAAACTACTATCCATACCTGTTTTTTTTTTTTTTTTTTTTGGTTTTTGGTTTTTCTCCGGTACCGGGAAC